TTAGTAAAGACAAGTATCCAATTATTACCATTCTGAGCAGCTAAATGAAGGGGTGTATTTAAAAAATTATTTTTCATTTCATAATCAGCTCCTTTACTGAGTAGAAGTTGAGCGACACTCAAATGACCTGAAAAATAATTTTGATCGATAAATAAGATCAAATCAATCTTCTATTAGTAAAGACAAGTATCCAATTATTACCAATCCGAGCAGCTGTATGAAGAGGTGTGTTTTTCTCAGTATTTTCACTATTAACATTGGCTCCTTTACGGATGAGAAGTTCAGCGACACTCGTATGACCTAAAAAGTAATTTAGATGGATGAAAAAGATCAAATCAGTCTTCAATTAGTAAAGACAAGTATCCAATTATTACCATTCTGAGCAGCTAAATGAAGGGGTGTATTTAACAAAGTATTTTTCATTTCATAATTAGCTCCTTTACTGAGTAGAAGTTGAGCGACACTCATATGACCTGAAAAATAATTTTGATCGATAAATAAGATCAAATCAGTCTTCAATTAGTAAAGACAAGTATCCAATTATTACCATTCCGAGCCGCTAAATGAAGAGGTGTGTCTTTCGCAGTATTTTCTTTATTAAAATTGGCTCCTTTACTGAGTAGAAGTTCAGCGACATTCTTTTGATCTGAAAAATAATTTTGACCGATAAATAAGATCAAATCAATCTTTTATTTTGTGAAAAAAAACTCATAAAATCTCGTTGACAGCATTTTTAAGGTGTAGAAACGTATATGGACATCATTCCGGAGCACAGCAATTGTTGTAACATAAATGATTAATTGTTGTAAAATGATATACAATTTGTTGTATGAACGACGTGTGCGAGTGGCTCACGGCAGGGCATACCAGCGTTTGACCAATTTGGCTGACTAAGCAGCAGCCGGTATCGCTGCATACGAGCGTACTCGCACTAATCATTTGCTTTTTTACTTTCCTTGATTAAAGACCAAATGACAAAAACCGAACCGTGAGCATTTTTAATACAACACAATCGTGTTATCGACGATTCCACACCAAGTGTAACAAAAAGTGGATTTGACCTCTCCGATTTCGCTAAAACTTGGTGTATAAACTTGCTATGGCCAAAAACTCGCACAGCCAAAAAATTGGATAATGGATGGGGCAACAAAATTTTTTTCGACGACCACATCCGGGCCCATTCAGGCTCAGAAAAGTGGGTTCAAAGTATAAAAAGTAAAAAAAGTCAGATAGATATGGAAGAAAAAATTCGTTTTTTTTGCTTAAAAGTCGGCCCACCGAAGTGAATTAACAGAAGAGAAATTACTACTTCCTACTTTTTTCAGAATAAAGTTCTGGGAGGTCAAGATTTGCCATTTTTCATGGTTTTTCGACTATATAATTTTTTTCCACACCGAATAGGTGGTCTGACGCTGGTAATGTGTTCTGATGGAATGCTCAGCAGACACTCTAGAGAATCGAAAAATACCAATTGTTGGGGCTTCCTTTCCCTTTGGAAGGGCAGGGTAGACTCAAAAAGTCGAAAAATTACCAAAAATCACTATTTAACAGCAATAACAGGGATAATATTCGGAAAGCTCGCAAAAATCCTAGGTACGCGTAGAACATTCCAACTACTTAAAATCGCCTCTTCTGTCTCAAATCGAGGTCGATAGTTCAAAAAATCGTGCTCTTGTAAGTATTCAATCATTTTTAAGGCACCAGCGCAAGTGCGGTGTGTTTCTATAATGTAGCACCTGGTCTCTAGTTTTATTTGGCACTAGAGTCCTCGCTTCGCCCGGCTCCGGCACTATCATGTTCACCCAAAGTCACATTGGTAGTTGATGAACGAATGATCACTTGGTAGTTATCAGAAGGCATTAAATCTAAAGATGTCTTGAACAATTTAACCAAATCATTATGTTCGTCAAACATCTT